TAAAAAATCAACAATTAGGTCCCTAAACTAATCAATTTCAAACAATTCTTTCAATTAGAAGGTTTCCAACAGGTCAACAGGTCATCCTTCCAAATTAATTATTTTTTAAAATTTAAATTTTAAAAATTAATTATTTAAATTTAAAAAAAAAAAACTGGTTCCAGCCGGAGACGGTCGTCTCCGGCTGGATTCCAGTTTTTTTTTTTTTTTAATTTAATTTAAAAATAGGGAAAATGGCACTTTTTCCCCCTATGTTATATACTTATAGCATTTTTTCCCCCTCAATTATTTAAGTGGCTCTTTTTCCCCCTGAAATGTTAAATGGACATATTTACCCTTAAAATAAATATTTCATTTATTTTTATTCTCCAATAAATTATTACTATAATTTGGTTCAAACCAGATACTATAGTAACCAAACCAAAATATTCCAATTACAATTTATAATCAAAATGCGATATTTAGAGTTTATTAAAATCGCGAACTGGAATGGCCGGTTCATGTTCCGAACTGGAAAAATAAAATACATTTATTGTTGAATTTAAACTATTTTAAAATAAAAAATAAAATTTTAAAATATAGACAGTTCAAAATCGCGAACGGGATCCGGAACCGCCGGTTCATGATCCAATTTTTTTTTTTATTCTTAAATTTAATAAATTGAAATCCAAATATTGGGTTCTAGATCTGAATCATAACTGAAAACTTTTAATTCGATTGCTATAGTGTCTGGTTCAGTTCGAACCGAACCGTGGTAATAGCTACATATACGCAATAATTTGTTGGAGAAGTAAAATAAATAAAATGTTTACTTTAAGGGTAGAAATGTCAATTTAATATATTAGGGGGGAAAACCACCACTTTTAAAATAATTGAGGGGGCTAATGTGCTTACATAAATAATTGAGGGGGAAAAAGTGCTATAAGTATATAACATAGGGGGAAAAAGTGCCATTTTCCCTTAAAAATAATTAATTTTTAAAATTTATATTTTAAAAAAATAATTAATTTGGGAGATGACCTGTTGACCTGTTGGAAACTTTCAAATTGGAAGAATTGTTTGAAATTGATTAGTTTAGGGACCTAATTGTTGATTTTTTAAGTTCAATGGCCTAATTGTTTTATCGTGTGCAGTTCGATGGCCTATTTGACCCTTATTCCTAATAAAATATGATGGCTTGGTGGTCTGTGTCGCGTGTGCTATGTGTAAGTTCCCGGGTTTGAATTTGGTTGCACCTCTGTCCTCCTTTAATAAGTATGGGCATTTTGGACTTTGTACTACTTATTTCCTTTCAATTATCATGTATACCAAACATTGAAATTTCTCTCCTTTAATAATAATAAGTATGGACATTTTGGACTTTGTATTACTTATTCCCTTTCAATTATCATGTATACCAAACATTGAAATTTCTCTCCTTTAATAATAATAAGTATGGGCATTTTAGACTTTGTATTACTTATTCCTTTTTTTTATCATGTATACCAAACATTGAAATTGAAATTCCCAATAATTCTATTCATGTAAACCAAACACTGGAATTTAAATTACCACTTTATTCCCATATTATTCATCTCTCATGAAATTACAATTCCTTTCTCACCTAATTTCCTCCCTCCAACCAAACGCCAATACGCCATGTTATTAGTTGCCATGAATTGGATAGCCCCACAACTTATTAATAGAACTTAGTTACCAATTAGATGTTCTCATATCATGAGGGATGGATTTGAGAGAAATATATTACGGGTCTTTAACATTACTCTTTTGACATTTAAAGTAACCATTTTGTGGTATAATTTTTAGTGAGGTTCACTTCTGATTTGGTTCGGGTAAAGTGGATTCGAGTTCTCCTAAGTGATATGTTTAAATTGATATATTATACGCACAAAATAGGAGTGAATGAAAAATTGATTATCAATGCACAGAATTCACGTTCATTATATCGTGTTTATGTGTATGTGTATTATGAACATGAATTCTATACATTATGAACATAAATTTTGTATATTGAACAAAGGTCCACAATGCACTGTGAATCTTGTTCCACGATATAACGATTGCCTCGACTGTCAATCGTTATGCTATGGAACCGTGTCCAGCATTCATGCTGGACACGGGTAACAGTGCCGTTAAGAGTATATGTTCATAATTTTATTACTATATGTTCATAACTGTAAGTTCATAATGTCAGAGCTCTATGTTCATAACTCCATAACTATACATTCATACTTCCATAACTGTACATTCATAATTCCGTAACTGTACATTCATAATTCAATAACTGTAACTTCATAATTTTTGAAACTCTATGTTCACAATTTTAGAGCTCTATGTTCATAATTTTATCACTATATGTTCATAATGTCAGAGCTCTATGTTCATAATTTCATAACTGTACATTCATAATTGCATAACTGTATATTCATAATTCCGTAACTGTACATTCATAATGCAATAACTGTAAAATCATAATTTTCAAAGCTCGATGTTCACAATTTTAGAGCTCTATGTTCATAATTTTATCACTATAAGTTCATAATTGTAAGTTCATAATGTCAGAGCTCTGTGTTCATAATTTTATAACTTACATTCATAACTCCATAATTGTACTTCATAATTTCATAACTGTACATTCATAATCCCATAATTGTACATTCATAATGGCACAAACGAATAACGCCGTTAACGGCGCTAACGGCGAGACAAAATCAATTTTTTTTTAACTGAAATGACGCGTTTTCCTTGAAAATGACGTCGTTTTGGACTCGTGTCCACAATGCATTGTGAACACGAGTCCACTGCATAATTTGCGCTCGACTGTGACCTGGGGCATTTTGGGCCTTTTTTTGGAGTGTGGGTCTTATCGCAAAAATAAGAAAACACTTATATACCTGACTTGTAACTTGTAAGTATACTAGTTTTTTTACGCGCGATTGGAATAATGCCCAATGTTTTTTTTTAAATAAGTATTTTAAAGTATATCATTATATTGGAATTGTTTATGCATAGATAATTGAATGTTGAATTTGCGTATTTAAATTGGTAATTCTAAGCTTACAAATGCAAGATAATATAGTCAAGATTGATTATAATTGTCAATAAAATAATTGTATGGGTATGGTTGAAACCAAATACGGGACATAAAGGAGAGCAAATAAAAATTAAAGTATAAAATATTAAATATGTACTAATATTGTTTGAAGAGATTCCAACTGTAGGTGGTAGGGAATATCCCGACCAACATAGCTTCACCACGACCAAGGAGCCTTTGTCTCTTTTTCCTTGTCTTTGCAGGCAACAGGTCGGGCTCCTCGAGAAGAACCCGGTCGTAGACCGACCGGGAGTTGCCCGAGCGACGGTATCGACCACCGAGCGGTAGCCCTTTGGCGAAAGAGCTGACGAAGGACACGTGGCGGCTCTCTACATCGACAGGCAGGGCACCCGGGAGGATGACACGTGGTGGCTACGTGGAGGACATGCCGAACGGTTGGAATCTTGTCCCCGGCATAGCGGCTATAAATACCCACAGTAGCTACAGTGTAAGGGACTTTTGGACGATCGATAGGTTGTTGCTAGAGAATCCCGACCGCAATCAGTCGGTACTCAGAGCGACCAAGTAGATTGTACTTAGGGCCTTTACCGAGATCAATAAAGATATTTGCTTGCTTTAACTGGTCTTGTGTTGTTATATATTGCTTGCGCGTAATTAGCAGTATCATTTTGGCGCCGTCTGTGGGGAACCGTGCAAGAAACCAACGTCTTGACGAGCACCCGATCATTACATCGACATGTATCCGTGGGCACACAACAACTTTGCCGACGACCAGGCGGATGCGGCGAGCTCCTCCGACCACTATGCTACCCAACAGCAGGGTCAGACGATGGACCTCAACCTCAACCTCTCACCACCGCATCCGTCAAATACATACCCGGCCGCCCAGCAGCCGGTGAATTACATACAACCGGGATACCCACCACCCGGTCTGCCATACCAGCAGCCGCCGATGATGTATCCCGCCCAGTATCCGTACCCAGTCCCACCTCCACCATATGGGTATTGGCCAGGCCAACCAATGTGCTACACTTCCCCGGTCGGCTATCCACCATATACGCCTGCTTATACAGCTCCAGCCGCCGCCCCTCCAGTACAACCGACCGCCCAAGTGGAGCCGCAGCGTCAGTCCACATCCCGGGCTCGACGCTCGGCTCATTCGCGGTTGGGGTCGGGGGGTGCTGATGCGATGGAGGCACCAGCTCAGGCCGTTCAAGCGGAGGACCCTGAAGAAGTTGCCCGAGCGGTAGCTTTTGATCGTCTTCGACCGGAGATGCGCCAGCGTTTGGGACCCCAAGACCCGAACCGCGGGCAAGAAGACGTACAAATGCAGGAAGCTAGCCACGAGGCTTCATCTGGGTATAGCGGGTCGAGATCTCACCGACGGCGACGCGCTCGGGATACAGCCCAAGCCGCTCAAGCCGCCGAGCTCAACGAAACCCGAGGATTACTCTATAACCTTCAGGCGGAAGTTGCGCAGCTCAGGAATGCGTACCCTGGAACACCCCCGGTCAATCAGTCAACCCTGCACCAGACGCCTTTCACAGCAGCGGTAATGGCCCAGCCTTACCCGCTCGACTTAAAGGTCTCTGGAGAGAAGAGTTATGACGGACGGGCAGATCCTGAGGCCCACGTGAATGATTTTTTCAGCAACATGATGCTGAAGGGCGTTTCGGACGCCGTGATGTGCAGAGCCTTTTACTCGACCCTCACCGGTCGGGCAGCAGAGTGGTTCCGTACCCTGCCACCGGGGTCGATCGATAAATTTGAGACCCTAGCGATCAAATTTGTGAGGAAGTTCATCACTTCCAAAGTGGTGAGGAAGTCCTACATGTATCTCGAGAAGGCCAAGCAGCTAGAAGGGGAAAGCTTGACCGATTTCCTCATCAAATGGAAAGCGGCGGTCGGGGAGGTCGAGCCTATGGACGATGCGACCGCCACCCACATGCTTCACATATCTCTCCGGGCGGGACATTTGTATCAGGACTTCATCCTACACCCCCCGACCACTTACGAGGAGGCCCTTCAGAGGGTCACAGACTATGCCAACGCCGGCGAGGCGAATGCCGTCAAGCGTTTGCAGGAGGTCGGCTCTTCGTCCCGTACACCGGCCGGGCGGGCGGAACATAGGTCGGGAGATGACAACCCCCGATCCCGCACCAGGCCTGGAGAATTTACGGCCTTGAACCGATCCGCAGCGGAGGCCATGCAATACGCCCAGTCCTGCAATCTCATCAAGCTCCCCCATCCCGATCGAGACGGCCCTGACAAGAGTAAGCACTGTGCTTACCATCGATGTGCCGGGCATGACACCGAGGAGTGTACCCACTTGTGCCAATTGTTGGAAGATCTGCTGAACAGGGGAAAATTGGACAAGTGTGTGGGGAAGAGAGAGGAAAACAAAAGGAACACCGATCGGAGGGATCATAGACGTTCCCATCACCGTTCTGATCGATCTGGGCAAGACAGAAGGGATGATCGTCAGGATGACCGACGGGACCCCGACCCTCCGTCCGGTAGCCGCCCGTCCGGAAAACCTACCATCCACGTCATTTTTGGTGGGCTGGAAGATGCTTCCCGACCGCGGACTAATTGCCCGATCGCAGTAGTGGATTCCCGGGAGACCGGGAAGAGGCAGAAGATGGAGCCCATAACCTTCACCCTCGAGGACCAACCTACCAGCAGCGACCACGGCATGGAGGCGCTCGTGGTCACGATTGATGTTAAGGGGACGGACGTCCAGAGGGTTATGGTTGACACGGGCAGTAGCGTGAACGTCCTATACTTGGACGTGTTTGAGAAGCTTGGCCTTGACAGGAAGGAGCTGACTCCGGTCGGTGTACCACTGTCGGGATTTACCGGGGCTCTTATCTACCCCGAGGGAAAAATAACGCTCCCGGTCGAGATCGGCACGCCTCCAAAGTCGATCCAAACGGAGCTGGAATTTGTTGTGGTCAACCTCCATTGCGTCCACAACCTTTTCTTGGGCCGACCCGCCATTATGAAGATCGGTGGGATAATTTCTATGCCCCACCTGTGCATGAAATTCCCCACCCCTCATGGGGTCGGCGTGGTCCGTGGCGATGTTCAATCCGCCCGGAAGTGTTACACCCGAGCGGTTAATAGGCGTGATTCCGGTCCATCTTCCCGGGTGAACACCATAGCCAACGAGGAGGCTAAGGAACGGAAGGAGCAGCCTGAGCCTTCCGAAGAAATTGAAGAAGTTCCCCTGTCCGAGGACCGCCCGGACAGGAAGATAAAGATCGGACGAGCCCTCACCCCCGAGATTCGAGCGGAAGTTCTGGCCGTGCTCCGGGAGTATGCCGATATCTTTGCGTGGGGGCCCGAAGACATGCCCGGGATCGATCGGTCGGTCATCTGTCACAAACTGGCCGTCGATCCCGCAGTTAAGCCGGTCGTGCAAAAGACACGACACCTTTCCTCCGATCGCCGCGAGTTTGTAAGAGAAGAAGTCAAAAAGATGGCGGCGATCGAGCACATCCGTCCGGTAGTCTATCCCGAGTGGGTGGCAAATATCGTTCTTGTTCCTAAGCCCCCAGCCTGGAGGATGTGTATCGACTTCACGGACCTTAACAAAGCCTGTCCGCTCGACCCGTATCCTCTACCGAGCATTCATCAGATGGTCGACGAGACGGCCGGGGCCGAGTTAATGAGCTTCATGGATGCCTTTAAGGGATACCATCAGATCATGATGCACCATGAAGACGAAAGCAAGACAGCCTTCGTGACCCCGGATGGGCTGTATTGTTACCGAGTGATGCCGTTCGGCCTCCGAAATGCAGGAGCGACCTACCAAAGGATGGTCAACATGCTCTTTGCTGATCTACTGGGCCGAACGATGGAAGCTTACATCGATGATATGCTAGTCAAGAGTCGGGACCGATCCGACCACAATCGGGACCTTCGGGAGTGCTTCCAGATCATGAGGAAGTACCAGTTGCGGCTGAACCCGACCAAGTGCACATTCGCGGTTCAGACCGGCAAGTTCCTCGGCTATATGATGACCAAGAGAGGAATCGAGCCCAACCCGGCCAAAGTAAAAGCGATTCTGGACATGCAGCCACCTTCCACCGTTCGGGAAGTCCAGCAGTTAACCGGTCGGTTGGCATCCCTCAGCCGGTTCCTCTCCAAGCTAGCCGAGCGCGCTTTACCTTTCTTCAAGGTATTGCGAAAGGTTAATGGATTCGTCTGGGACGAAGAGTGCCGAGTGGCTTTTGACGAGCTGAAGGAGTATCTCATGTCACCAATCGTGCTCTCAAAGCCCGAGCTCGGAGAAGAGCTAGACGTGTACCTCGCCGTGTCCGATCGCGCAGTAAGCGCAGTGTTGTGCCGAACCGATTCGGAAGGGGTCCAGCGACCGGTGTACTATGTAAGCCACGCGCTACATGGTCCCGAGCTCCGGTACTCCCGGCTAGAGAAGGTCGTCTACGCCTTATACACTGCCGCGAAGAAGTTGGCTCCCTACTTCCAAGGTCGAGCAATTCGCGTGTTGACCGATCAGCCGATCGGGCCAGTCCTCCGAACTGCTTCATCATCAGGTCGCCTAGTCAAGTGGGCTTTAATGCTGACCCAGTACGCGATCGAGTACCGACCGAGACCGGCTATTAAAGGTCAAGCTCTTGCGGACTTCTTGGTTGAGTGCACCGCCCGGGATACCCGGCCTCCTGAGGTTGCGGATCCCGAGGCTGAGTGGTGGTCGCTGGCTACAGATGGGTCGAGTAGCAAAAAAGGGGCAGGAGGAGGAGTGGTGGTCACGAGCCCGGAAGGATTCAAGGTCTACTTTGCTCTCATGTACCAGTTCCACCCGACCAACAACGAAGCCGAGTACGAAGCGTTCGTTAACGGCTTACAGTGCGCTCGGGACTTGGGGGCTGAGTACATCCGAGCTCAGACAGATTCCGCGCTCGTGGTCGGGCAAGTTCTTGGGGATTATGAAATCAATGGAGAACGTCTGCAGCTTTACCGAGATCTTGCCATGGAGAAGCTTGCTCAGTTCCGGGGGTATACCGTCCGACACATACCCCGATTGGATAACGCCGATGCAGATATCTTATCCAAATTAGCTCAGGACGCCCCGGAACACATGTCGAAGATAGCTTGGATCTTGGTGATCCCAAGACACAGTATTCACCGACTACCGGTCAATCCCATCCAACCGGTAGATGACAATTGGATCACCGATCTGAAGGAGTACCTCGAGCACGATCGCCTCCCAGACGACCCGCAGCGTGCTCGGAAGGCCAAGCTAAGAGCCCCAAGGTTCCAAATCTTGGACGGTCGTCTATATAGGCGATCGTATGGAGGCCCCCTCATGCGTTGCTTGACCGCATTTGAGGCTGAGTTAGTCATGAAGGAATTGCACTCGGGAATTTGCTCTTCACATCAAGGAGGCCGATCCCTGGCCCGTCGTATCATGCTGATTGGGTACTATTGGCCGTCCCTCCAGCTGGACTGTGAAAAGTTAGCTCGGGAATGTGAGACGTGCCAACTGTACGCCCGGATGCCTGGACGACCGGCAACCTTTTATCAGCCGGTCACGACCGCAATTCCTTTCGCTAGGTGGGGAGTAGACATCTTGGGCCCCTTCCCTCAGCTCTCTGGTCGAAGAAAGTTCGTGATCGTCGCCATTGATTACTTCTCCAAGTGGATAGAAGCCGAGCCCTTAGCCACGATTACCTCTCAGCAATGTGCTCGCTTCCTTTGGCGCAATGTGGTTTCCCGCTTTGGTGTACCCGTGCATCTCATCAGCGACAACGGCCGCCAGTTCGTAAGCCAATATTTCCAGAACTTCTTGGCCACGATCGGGACGACTCACGTCCGGTCGTCGGTGGCTTACCCTCAGGGAAACGGTCAAGTGGAGAACGCGAACCGGACGATTTTGGAAGGTCTGAAAAAGAAGTTACACTCGGCTGGTCGTAGTTGGGCCGATGAGTTGCCATATGTTTTATGGACTTATCGGACGACCCCGAGGGAAGCTACTTTGGAGACCCCTTTCGCCCTGGTTTATGGAGCAGAAGCCCGACTCCCGATCGAGGCTTGGATCCCAACCGATCGAGAGAGAACCTACAATGCCGAGGAAAATGAACATGCCATGGCGGTGGATCTCGATGGGGTCGAAGAAAAAAGAGAGCTAGCCGCTCGGCGCATAGCCGAGTATCAGAAGCGCGTCAAGAGTTCTAAAGATGTTCGGGTCAACCCTCGTTATTTTCAGGTCGGAGACTACGTTCTACGACGAAGGGAGGCCAGTCAACCTCTAGAGGGTGGAAAGCTAGCTCAGAACTGGGAGGGGCCGTATATCATCAGTGCGATCATACGGCCGGGAACATACCGACTGGAGACGACAACTGGTCGGGTAATTGAGGGGACTTGGAATTCCGAGCACCTCGTTATGTTTAGGCATTAGGCCTCTTTTTTGTAATCTTTGGACGAAGAGGGGGCTTGACCTGCGTGTAGGTCCCGGTCGTCGCCTGTAATTGAATTTCTAAGTTTGTAAATATTTACTGAACCGCCTGCGAGCGGGAAGGATTAATGTATATACGATCGGTGATTGTTCGACCGTTTGCATACGGCGGCCCGATCGGTTATTTTCAATATCTTCAGTGCATGCAGATCAATTTATCTTCAAGCTACACCGACCGGGCGAATCTATCGACCGGTCAGATGCGCTCCACACCGGCGGACATTCGAGTCACGCCATTGATCGGGGAAGCTAGGAGCTCACAGCATAATTCCCCGATTCGTCCAACTTCTGTCCACTATCGCCCCACTCGTGCCTCGAAGGCACAATAGTGTGGGGGCTGGGATATATGAAGTGTTGATAGGCCCATATCGCTCGGTATATCCTGACCGTGGGGCTTGTTTTCCGAAAATTCGTCAAGACCTGGAGACCGGGTCAACTTGGTCGGATAGGTCAATATTAGGACGAATCTATTTTC